CGGAGCAGGGAGCCCGATGTGGGACTCGATCCCAGGACCCTGGGATCATGACCTGAGCCGAAGGCAGACGCTTAACGACTGAGCCACCAGGCGCCCAAGTTGTTGCTATTCTTTTCTTCGATCTCTTATTGAGTTTGTAGGTGTTCAGAATGGTTTGATCCCTATCCAGCTGAATTCCTGGACCAGACGAAATCCAGGTCTCCTACTCCTCTGCCATCTTCGAGGAGGTTCTGTTCTAATCTAGTCTTATTTCTTTTCTTCCTCTACCCCTTCTTCCTTTAGTATTACCTCTTTTTGGATGGGTCTCAATCTTTATAACAACCACCTCTCTAGGAAGTAGGAGTTCCTTGAAGTTCTATAACTTGTTGTCCATTTTGGATGGGAATTCCTGCAGAAGTAAGAAACACATTTGTCTCCACAACATTCCAAAGCCATGTACTACTCTAAAAGCATACTTGCTATCTGTATATATGTTTACTCTCTAGTCTTTGGATAGTTGATACGCTCTCATTAGTGCAATAAGTTTTGCTACCTAGGCTGATTTTACCTGATGGAGAATTATTTTCTGAAGGAGAGCTTACATTAGTTATAACATCTTGTGTAATAACTTCCAGTTTTGGTTGAGGTATGATCAATCAACCAATCATAATAAGTGAAGGGGCACCTGGGTGGCTCAGTCCTTAAGCGTCTGCCTTCGGCTCAGGTCATGATCCCAGGGTCCTGGGATTGAGCCCCGCATCAGGCTTCTGCTTGGCAGGAAGTCTGCTTCTCCCTCCCCCACTCCCTCTGCTTGTGTTCCCTCTCTCGCTGTGTCTCTCTCTGTCAAATAAATAAATAAAATCTTTAAAATAAAATCATAATAGGTCAATGTTCTCAATGAGAGTGAGGTCAGAAAGTTCCCTAACTGGGGTAGGACTATCATAAGATTCCTCTCTTTCTGACAGGGACAAAAGAGTGGCAGGATTCAGGGGGTTGCAGTGGTAAATAGTAATGCAAGAGGGAGAGTAACAGAATCTCAATAGATGTTGATTGGCTGGCTGGAATGTGTTGTGTTTTCTTAGCCAGACGTAATGTCTATACTGCAAACAAGACTATGAGCTTAAGCAAGCAGTTTAGAATTAGTTCAGCAAGCATCAAGTTTTTCAATGACAGCTATTGCTCTAAGGTAAAGAAAACAAACCTTTGAAACTAAGGGTGAGGTGAGACTTTAGTGAGAGATGATTTGATAGTTCCTGTGAAATTGAGTTAAAACCTCATGGACTTGTTCAGATAACTCACACACACATAAATGAAAGAGCTTTTTGTAGTTAGGGATAGTCAGGGAAGGAGGCTAGTGAAGAGTCCTCTTCAGATTGCAGAAGACCTGTTCATATTTGGGTTCATATTTGGGCATCACAGTATCAGAGAAATTTGGCATCCATGGTCTGCAATACCTAATTAAAGCTAGAAATCCTCTCAACTGTCATTTTGTGAGTGGTCTAGGTACATTTAGATAGTCTTTAGTGAGTCAGGAGAGAATATTTTATCCCCTGAATCGGTCATGCCCCACACATACTGTGGTTTCACAAAATTTTAAGTTATCTTTTGAAAGTTTATGTCTCTTTCCCGTTAATTCTAAGGGGAAGTAAATGGAATCTTTTTTGCAGGCTTCCTTGTTCTCTGAAGAAAGTGAAGGAGGCTTCAGTGAACCCCTGGGACATGACTGTCCAGGTTTATTGTTGATCTCTGCAGGTCAAGGTAAGAAGGCACTGACTTTTCTGATCTAGAGGTCCACTGAAAAAGGCAGAGCAAGATCCAATACAGTAAAGCAAGTGGCTTCAGGCAGAAGTGATGACAGAATATTTGGATTAGGTACTACTGTGAAGTAAGGGATAAAATTTTGTAGATTGTCTTGAGGTTTTTAAATGTTTTTTAATTTTTAAATTGAAGTGTAATTGACATATAACATTGTGTAACTTTAAGGTGTACCATGTGTTGATTTGATACATTTATATATTGTCATATGATTACCTATTGTATATTGTCATATGATTATCACTGTAGCATTAGCTAACACCTACGTCATGTCACATAAGTATCATTTTGTGTGTGTGTGGTGGGAACAATAAAGATCTAGAACTCTAAGCAACTTTGAAGTTTAGAATACAATATTGTTGACTCTAATTCCTATGCTGTGCATTTGTTCTTCAGAATTTACTTATCTACTGGCTCCCAGTTTGTACCCTTAAACAATGTATCCCCAATTCCTCCACCCCTCAGTCTCTGGTAACCATCATGCTGCACTCTGTTTTTGTAAGTTTGGCTTTTTTAGATTTCACATATGAAAGATAGTATTTGTCTTTCTCTGGCTGACTTATCTCACTTAACATAACACCCTCAGGGTCCATCCTTGTTGCAAATGTCAGGATTTCCTTTTTTTTCCCCTCATGGCTGAATAATATTCCATTATATATACACACCACAACTTCTTTATCCATTCATCTGTTGATAAATATTTAGGTTGTCTCCTTATCCTGACTATTGTGATTAATGCTGCAATGAACACAAGAGTGCATATGTCTTTGATATCGTGCTTTCATTTCCTTTAGATATATCCCCAGAAGTGGGATTTATGGTAGTTTTATTTTTAATTTTTTTAGGAACCTCCATACTGTTTTCCATAGTAGCTGAACCAATTTGCATTCCCATTTCTTGAGTAACTAGGTGCATTGTCAATGAATAGCAATATTTTGTGGGATTTTTTAAGATTTTATTTTTAAGTAATCTCTACAGCCAATGTGGGGCTCAAACTCACAACCCCAAGATCAAGAGTTACATGCTCTGCTGACTGAGCCAGCCAGGATCCCCAGTAGTAATATTTTGAAAGGAATTTTTTTTTTCCCCCTGAGCAGTAGGTCTCAATCATGGGCTTAAAATATGCAGTAAACTGTATTGTAAACAGATGTACTGTCACCCAGGCTTTGTTATTCCATTTATAGAGCATAAGCAGAGTAGATTTAGCATAATTCCTAAGGGCCCTTAAGAATTTCAGATTTTCAGAATGATAAATGTTAGCAAGTGAAATCCAACAATGTATAAAAATAATTGTATACCATGACCAAGTGGGATTTATCCAGGTACACAAGGCTGGTTCAACATTTGAAAATTGATCAATGTAATTCATCACATCAACAAGTTAAAGAAGAAAAACCACACGATCATATTGATAGATGCAGAAAAATCATCCAAAAAATCCAATAGACATCACAATAAAAACTCTTGGCAAACTAAGAATAGAGGGAAACTTTCTCAACTTGATAAAAAACAGCCACAAGAAACCTACATACTTAATGGTGAGAAACTCAAAGCTTTCCCACTAAGATCAGGAGCAGGCAAGGATGTTCCCTTTCACTATTGCTTTTCAACATTGTACTGGAAGTCTTAGTTAATGAACTAAGGAAATAAAAGGTGTACAGAATGTGAAGGAAGAAATAAAACTGTCTTTGTCTCAGATGACATGTTGTCTATGTAGAATATCCAAAAATATCAACTAAAAATTCCCTGAAATAAATTAGCAATTATAGCCAAGGTTGCAGGATACAAGATTAATATACCAAAGTCAATCAATTTCCTATATGCCAGCAATGAACAAAGTATAATTTGAAATTAAAAAGACAATACCATTTACATTGGCACCCCACAAAAATTAAATACTTAGGTGTAAATCTAACAAAATATCTATAATATCTTTATGAGAAAAACTACAAAACACTGGTGAAAGGAAACAAAGAGGAACTAAATCAGTGAAGAGATATTTCATGTTTTTCAATGGGAAGACTCAATTTGTCAAGATGTCAGTTCTTCTCAACTTGATTTATAGATCCAAAGTAATCCTAATCAAAATCCCAGCAAGTTATTTGTTGGATATCAACAAACTGATTCTAAAGTTTACATGGAGAGGCAGAGACCCAGAATGGCCAACTCAGTATTAAAGAAAAAAGTTGGAGGGACTGATATTACCTGGTTTCAAGACTTACTACAAAACTACAGTAAGCAAGACAGTGTGGTATTTGAGAAAGAATAGACAAATAGATCAATGGAACAGAACAGAGAGCCCAGGAAGAGACACATAAATATAGTCAACTGATCTTTGACAAAGAAGCAAAGGCGATATGATGGAGCAAAGATCGTGTCTTCAAAAAATGGTGCTGGAACAATTGGACATCCACACCCCCCCAAAAAAGGAGGGGGTATCTAGACACAGACCTTACACTCTTCACAAAAATTAAGTCCAAATGAATCTATACACAAATGCAAAACTAAAACTCTTAGAAGATAACATTGGAGAAGACCTATGTGACCTTAGGTATGTTGATGACTTTTTTAAATACAACATCAAAGACACGATCCATGAAAGAAAAAATTGATAAGCTGGATTTCATTAAAACTAAAAACTTCTGCTCTGTCAAAGATAGTGTCAAGAGAATGACAAGACAAAACACAGACTGGGAGAAAATATTTTTAAAATATACATCTGATAAAGGACTAATATCCAAAATATACAAAGAATTCTTAAAACTCAACAACAGGAAAATAAACAACCTAATTAAAAGATGGGTCTAAGACCTTAATAGGCACTTCACCAAAGAAGATATATGATGGCAAGTAAGCATCTGAAAAGATGTCCAACATCATATGACATTAGGGAATTGCAAGTTAAAATGACAAGATCTCTACATACCTACTAGAATGGCTCAAATACAGAACACTGACAATACCAAATCCTGACAAAGATGTGGAGCAACAAAAACTCATTTATTGCTAATGGGGAAAAAATGGTACAGCCACTTTAGAAGATAGTTCGGTAGTTTCTTAACAAAACTTAACATACTCTTTCCATGTTTTCCATGTGATCCAGCAATCATGTTCCTGGTATTTATCCAGATGAATTGAAAACTGTGCCCACACAAAAACCTGCACACAGATGTTTATAGCAGCTTTATTCATAATTGCCAAAAATTGGGAGCCAACAAGATATCTTCGGCAGGTAATTGAAAAATAAATTGTGGTACATTTAGATAATGCAATATTATTCAGTGCTAAAAAGAAATGCGCTATAAAGCCTTGAAAAGATATGGAGGAAACTTAAATATATATTACTAAGTGAAAGAAGCCAATCTGAAAAGACTACACGCTGTATGATTCTAAGACATTCTGGAAAAGGCAAAACTATTGAGACAGTAAACTGATCAGTGGCTGGGGGAAGACAAGGGGAGGATAAATAGGAGTTTTAGGGGCAATGAAACTATTTTGTATGATACTCTTCATTTTGTATGAAACTATTTTGTATGATACTCTAATGATGAGCACATGTCCTTATACATTTGTCAAAACCCATAAAATGTACAACACCAAGAATGAACCCTAATATAAACTATGGACTTCAGATGATAATGATGTGTCAATGTAGGTTCATTGATTATAACAAATATACCGCTGTGCTGTTGGATATCGATACTGGGGGAGGCTGTGTATGTGTGGGGATGGGGAGTATATGGAAACTCTGGTACTTTTTCTGCTCAGTTTTTTTGTGAATCTAAAACTTCTCTAAAAACTAAATTTTTTTAATTAAAAAAAATCCTAACAGTTATTTTTGTGGAATTTGACAAGCTAATTGTAAAATTTATATAAAAATGCAAGGAGAAAAACAAGGTTGGAGGACTTGCTTTACCAGGAATGAAGACTCACAATAAAGCTATACTAACTCAGATAGTTTGTTCTTGGTAGAAATAAGTAAATGATGAGCAGAAGAGAGAGATCAGAAATAGAAATGGTAGTGCAGGGCAGTGAGGGAAAGATGATCTTTTCAATAAGTGTTTTTGAGACAATTTTAGGTATCCACACAGAAAAACATTTAAATTGGATCTCTAAATCACACAAAAATCCAGTGCTTTATAAACCCACATGTGAAATACAAAACAGTAAGGCATTTAGAAGTAACGTAAGAGAATTATCTTCACAATCTGATGATGGAAAATATTCCTTAAATGGGGCACGAGAGTTATTAAGAATAAGGTAATATTTATATAAGATACTTAGAATAGTTAAAATCACGGAGACAGAAAGCAGGATAGTAATTGCCAGGGGCTGGGCAGGTTGGGGGTTATTGTTTATAGTTAGTATAACTATAGAGTATAGGTTTTATGAGATGATGTGAGTTACGGAAATGGATGGTGGTAATGATTGCACAACATTATGAATGTATTTAATGCCACTGAACTGTACACTTAAAAATGGTTACAATGGTAAATTTTGTGTTATGTATTTTACTAAAATTGAAAAAAAAATCTAGGAAAAAAATTAAGCAGGACAATAAATGCGTAATTTAACAATATGAATTATAGGGTTTGAATATCCAGTGGGGTTTTTTTTCTTCATGAGACCTGGAATAAAATATTAATGAAACATCATTTAAAAACTTTATAAAAACCAATTAAAATATCACTTTGGGTCCCAAAAAAAAGAGAATAGATTGATTCATTAGACTATAATAAAATATTTGCTTATTTGTTGAAATGTCTTCTCTTCTTCTGTGGCTAGTCTTTTTTGATACTGTCACTAGTCTTTTTTTAATAGTTTATTTTGCTAAACAGTTGTTATTACACAAACTCTTCCATATGTGTATTGTTTCACAATTTAAAGAAAGCTTTTTTTTTTAAAGAGGGGATTTTAGGGGTGCCTGGGTCGTGCAGTTGGTTGTCTGACTCTCTGTTTTGGTTCAGGTTGTGATCTCTGGGTTTGTGAGATTGAGCCCCAGGTTGGGCTTCACTCTCAGCGTGAGTCTGCTTGAGATTTCCTCTCCCTCTACTTCTGCCCCTCCCACTTATGTGCATGCATGCCCTCTCTCTAAAATAAATAAATCTTCAAAAAATAAAGAGTGGATTTTAAATTCAATACAAATAAACATCAAGATGGCAACTAAAAAGAAGTAACTGAGAGAGAACTCCACTCCCTTTTGTACTCACCAGGCAGACAAACTAAGGGCTGCCTCACAGGCTACACCCAATGGGGCAGGCAAGGAAGAGGATTGCAGTCACTTTACCTTTAGAGTCTTTTAACTTTCACAGCTCCCTCTTTCCCAGGAATCCTATGTCCTCATGACCCCCGCCCCCTCACGCTTGCAAAGCCTCTTCTTCTGGGGATGCTGCCACCACAACATCACCAATGATTGCTTAGTAATTTCTCAAATACTTTTTCCTTCAGTCTCCACAATACCCAAGGTTGGTCTTATTAGGGCCATTAGTCATGTATGTTCCTTTAGCATAGTGCAGAGGAAGTAAGGGAAGGAAGTGCTTCCATATCTGTGACCTCTAATAATGTTCTCAGCACTGATGCTTAAAGTCCTGTGAAGCTGATTGCCAAGAGAGGAAAGGATGGTAATTTTGTTGTTGTTGCTTTCAGAACTATTTATAAGACAGTCTTTCTTCATTTTCCAGAGAGAGCTTGGTTTTTAGACAACAAAAAGAAGTGACATTGTACACACTAGGATGCAAACATAGAGCCATTCATTATCCCTGAAAAGGACACAGGCAAAAAAAATATAAGGAAAACTGAGGATGACTGAAAGAATATTTAGTGGAGCCACATTTGAGTCTAACATCTTGACTATTGTTCTCAGTATCAACTAGAAAAATAGACTGAGGCAGTTCTATCATATTTAATTAGTAATTCTAATAGATTATGGAAAAGCTTGTAATGGAAATCATGAGGTATCACGAGGCTTGTATTTATTTCCATATTGTTCTTACTATGTTGTTAGGTCACAGAGGAAAGCAAGCAGTGGTGGAAGGTATCCCCAGCCTCCAGCTGTATCTAACCTCTGTGAAGCAGATCCAGGATTCTCAGGTGATTTCCAACTGCCAGTATCTGCATTTCTGTGCTTACAGTCTCTTTTCCTTGGAACTGCAGAAAAGTGTGCTGCCTATTTGCATGATAGAGCAGAGGCGCACAGAAGTGACACGCCCTCCCCCAGCCCCCAAAAGGAAGATCCCTCAATCAATGGCTCTTAAAAGTAGATGTATAAATACCCCAGCTCCTTATCCCCTGGGTAGAATAATTCTGAACTGTGTGGTTTGTACCATTTCTTGATGTTTGCTTGGAGGATTGAGCTCCAGTGCCCACCCCAGTAGCTGGTTTGATGACACACATTTTGCTGGCTTTCTTCCCTTCCCTGTATCACCAAGTCCCTGCACATCTCAAATAAGCTACCTGGACCTGACTCCTTGTCTCAGGGTCTGTTTCTGTGGGAATCAAACTAAGACACCTTAAATATGGACTCTCCTATACAACATCTCTTGGTATCCAAGTCATAAAGAGAATACTGGGAGAATCAATTCAGAGTCTAAGTCAGTATCCTATTTCTTGTTTTTCAAGTTACTTGGAAATTATCTCACCTAGATGTGCTTTATTGCTTTAGTAGTGACATTGAAGGGGCTGGCAGTTAGGTGGAGTACATGCTTGTGGGGGAAAGCCCAGAAGAAACCATTCTTAAGTAAAGTGAACGTTCTGGATTGCCTACAAGCAGGGAGGATATCAAAATATTTAACAACTGGTACAGTATGGTCCTCAACCAATTATAAGAGATGCTGGACTGTATTCTGCAGGGCTACCATACTAGCTGACCATTGACTCTGCCCAGTGAAACACAGGGTCCCATTTCTGCCTAAGTCAAATCTTCAGGCTAGGTTAAGATGTTGTTGGGCAGAGAAGGTTTACCCGGCTTTCTCCGGGGGCACTCAGAGGTAGGTGGGTTTAATTTTGATTCCTTCTCAGAAAGAAAAGTAATGGGGTAACTTTTATCAAATATTCCCCCCAAAAGCTAAAAGCCAAGGAGGAGCCATGTCAGCAGGGACTTTGAGGGTTTTATGCTCCAACATTATTATTTGTGTCCTCTCCTAAGGATGGTAGTAAAGCCACAAACTGCACCAGGTTTTTCGTTCTAGGGAACTCTTTTCCATTGTGGGTAGTCTGGACAAGACCAAAGAGCAGAGTAGCCAAGGCGTAGGTATGTAGATGACCCAAGATAAGCCCATCAGAGTCTCTCTCCTGAAACTGTGAAAGTGAATCAGAATGATGAAAGGATGGAAGAAAAAGTCTCTGGAGTACATTTATGCAAGGAGAGAGCTAATACATTCATTCAGTGAGGATGCTATCAAGTATGGTCAACTGGTTCCTGCTGCACAAAGTCATTCGGTTTCTCTTCATGTCCTTGACCTTGTTGTTTCTATGAGTCTTTTGATAGCCTTCTCATAACTGCCTCTTATTCCTTAAATTTTCCAGAATTGGTTACTTTTGCTTGCAATTAAAGAACCATAACTCACTCAGGTCCTATATGCTTATCTTCAGTCATGTTTTGTGAGGAGTGGACTTCTTGAACAAGTGTGTGGCAGAAATTCCTGAAAATAGAAGAAGCCAGTCCCTGGATCTTCAGCAAACAAGAGGAAGAAGACACAGAAGGTTGGTGTGAGCCAGGGACATGGCATATAGCACTTTCAGAAGAACAGCTTCACCACAGTCAGCTCTCAGTTACTTGTGAAGCTAGAATTCCATCCCTAGTTTCTCCATCATCCCACAGGTTGACTGGCTTATGAGTTAAGCATATCTCACAATCAAAGCCCTAGTGGCTTGGACAAATACTTGGAAAAGGACAAAGGCTCAGGCCAGGCTCTCTTGTTAACAATTCTGGTAAAACAGGGGTCAGCAGGCATTGAAATCATGGAATAAAATAGGGCCTCACTGAAATATGTCACTTACCATGATATTCACATTTACTACAAAATAATTGTGCATATATGTTTGTGAACATTTTATGGGAATCATATTATGAACTGGGTGGGATTCCTTTTCTTTTTCTTTCTTTCTTTTTTTTTTTTGGATGCTTATTTGCATTAAGAAAACTGAATTTTCTGTCATAACTGCAACCATTTCTTTGTGTTGGGTATGACACATCCATATCAAACTCTCAAAGAGGGGCCATCTGAACACCTGCCAACCTGGCCCACCCACAGAGCTTTGCCTAGAAGCCATGTCTTTTATAGAATTTAGCTCGGGCGAGAAGATCATTGACCAAATCTTTGTCTATGTCCGTTAGGGTGACGATGGCATTGATTCCTGACTTAAAGGCTGAGAGACCACCTGAAATGAAACAGAGGTTCAGACTGAAATATTAACTTTCAGCAGAAATAAGATATGAGCAGGGCGCCTGGGTGGCTCAGTCATTAAGCATCTGCCTTTGGCTCAGGTCATGATCCCAGGGTCCTGGGATGGAACCCTGCATCAGGCTCCCTGCTCCACAGGAAGCCTGCTTCTCCCTCTCCCACTCCCCCTGCTTGTATTACCTCTCTTGCTGTGTCTCTGTCAAATAAATAAATAAAATCTTTAAAAAAAAAAAAAGAAATAAGATATGAGCATTCCCAGGATGTAAGCCCTCCAGGCAAATTTTTCAAAGCAGGCAGTCCCAGATTCTCCTTCCCCCTTCCTCCCCTCCTGAAAGGCTCAACCACCCCAAGAATCTCTGGGAAAATTCCAGACTTTTTTCCTTCTCTCTCCTTTTAAGAGACTTGTCTTTCTTGCTGCAAAAGCCATATTTGCCTCTTATGTAGTCCAGGCCTGGCAAAACTTGATCCCCAGCAAATCTTCAGTCGGAGACTGTTTATAGCATTCTCCCAGTCATTAAATAACTTACTCATTTAAAAAAGAATTTACTCATTTATTCAATCCCTCATTCAGTCATTCAATAAATGTTTTTATGCACCTACTATGTGCCAGGTGGATGGGTGCCACACTGAGTGCAGGGTACACAATGGTACACAAGACATAATCATTTCTTTGTATGGATATGTGTGTGTATGCAAGTGGATATGTGTATTTTACCCCCAAATTTTAATCTTCAGTAGTTATTTATGTGTTTAACATGACTGCTTTGCTCTGATATATAGAGAAAAACACCCCTGGTCATGATCCCTGACTTCAGGGACCTTGAAATAGAGAAAACAGAAATTGTTTATTCTAAATTAAGGATGTTAAAGTGTGGGAGGAGAAAGGTATTATGCACACCATGGGTCTGTAAGAGGTAGACTTGATAGGACTTGCTTGTGATTGGATGTGAAAACAGAAGGAACCAGAGAACCTAAGAAAACACTCCGGTTTTCTGGCTGGAATGACTAGACATATGGTGCCTTTCACAGAGACAAAAAAAAGAGAAGAGACAGAAAAACAGAAGAAAGAGTAAGTTTATGGTGGGAGGCTAGTGACTTAATTCAGTCTGGAAGATGCTGAACTTGAGGAGGTCTGTGATCAGCCAACCAGAGATCTTCCCTTGGATATGGTACCTAAAGCCCAGATGTCGCTGAGAATGTTCAGAGTAAACATTTGTTCAAACAAAGAAAGTCGTTAAGTTTCTTACATCAGGAAAATTCTACCAGAGGAAGGCAAACATTCTTTTAAACTCTTGCATTAATTCTCAAGACATCACTTAGTGGCTCAGTAACTAATGAGAGATATAAGAACACCAACATTTGGCAGAAGGGGAAATGGACGTTGGGAAGCAAGACCACTCAAAGTAACTCAGTGGTTCAGAGAGCACTAGTGCATCCTTTTGGCAGCTCCTTCCAGACCCATTGCTGACCCCATGGGAACGCTCCCAGAGAGGCCCCGGGGCACATCTGGCCTTCAGGGGTCTCACTCGCTGATCTTTTAAACAAAGCTCCACAAACATGGCTTACCTTTGAGGTGTTGAGCCACACTCCACATGGGGAATTTTTTCTGGATTGCCTTAATTTTGTCTGTTAGAATCCCAACAGCCTGCAAAAGGTGTTCTTTGCTGTCCCAGGTACCAACAGGGTGATAAATTTTTTTATCAAGCTACAAAAATCAGATAATAATGTCAGCATCTGGATAAAGCAACACATTTTTCTACTATTCCCAATTTCTCTTCCTTGTGCTCAAGTATACAGCCACTGGCCTCGGCCCCCTTACTTTATCTCCACAGAATCAATTCTACTTTCTCTCACAGAAAAGAGAGAGGGGCACCTGGGTGGCTCAGTCATTAAGCATCTGCCTTCAGCTCAGGTCCAGGGTCCTGGGATCGAGCCCCACATCGGGCTCCCTGCTCCTTGGGAGCCTGCTTCTCCCTCTCCCACTCCCCCTGCTTGTGTTCCCTCTCTCGCTGGGTCTCTCTCTGTAAATAAATAAATAAAATCTTAAAAAAAAAAAAGAAAAGAGAGAGAAACAAAGTATGATTTGGGAGGTGTGGAAGTGGCATAGTTTTTGTTAAACTCTCAAATATAAATAAATTTATGAAAAAGTTGTTTCAAAACAAATAATTAGCATTCAGTGACTAGACATTTGCAGTCAAACATAAAAATTTGTTTCTAATTGGGACAGTCTGAAGCTTAGCTCTCTACAGACAATTTAAAATAATGACTGGATGCAAACATCCAGATAATTTGGATCCCCTTCCTCCAATTTGCCTAAAGAACCATTTGATTCAAGTAGAGTTTAATTATAGTGTTTTGATCTACATGGATAAAATTCACTACTTTATGGGCCCCAAATGGACACTTCTAATAGTGCCCTCTATAAGATTTTCTCAATTTAAGTGCATTGCATATTATTAATTGCAAATTGTAGTTATAAAACTCATAAGATACTTTTTCTGAAGATATCCAAAAACTGATAAATCTGGAAAGAAATACCAGAGATGTGTTTCAGAAATACAGAAGTACAAATTATGCTGAAATTCCAGGGTGTTTTGAAGCCTGGAAGTACTACAAATGGACATCTAGTTTGGGTTGAGCTTCCATAAGGAAGGATGAAGTGGGGCTGACTGAAAGTTTCTTGCCAAGTACCTGCATCAAGCCAAATTTAAGTCCCGTGTAGTCCCAGCCATCTTGCAGGACAGCTCCACCATGGCTTTCTCTCGAGATGATGGCTGCAATGAGAGCAGGGTCCACACAATACCTCAGCCCAACTTCTTTGATCAGAATCTGGTAAGTTTTTAAGGCCCTCAAATCCATCTCAGCAAACATTTCAGAACCACGGATCCCTAAGTCAAAAGAAAACAAAACTGTTTACTCCAGAAGAGAACCCTTTTCCAAAGTTTTTTTTTTTTTTTTAAAGATTTTTATTTATTTATTCATGAGAGACAGAGAGAGAGAGAGAGGCAGAGGGAGAAGCAGGCTCCCAAGGAGCAGAGAGCCCGATGCGGGACTCGATCCCAGGACCCTGGGATCATGACCTGAGCCGAAGGCAGACGCTTAACCATCTGAGCCACCCAGGCGCCCTTCCAAAGTTTAATAAGTCAGTCATAGCCCCCAACCACAGCCCAAAGCTTGGGACAACTATTCTAGGACATTGTTTTTAATCTCTAATTGCATAAACCCAGAAAGGTCCACAACCCCAAGCAGTACCACTTCTGCTCTCTTTCTTGTTCTTCTGTTACCTGCCACATTGGTGCCTTGGGAAGACTCTTGGACTAGAAGTCAGCCAACCTAAATTTGAGTCTGGTTCTGCTACTACCTAGTTCCAGGCCCATGAGAAGTCTCTTCTTGCTGAGCCTCAGTTTTCAGATCTATAAATTGGGGAGGTGGGATTAGATTGACCTTGTAGTTGCTTCCAGCGCTGACATTCTAATGCTGGGATAACATGAAGAAGACTTTGGAACAGGATTACAAAAGAGAGGATGTACAAAGAGCAAGAGGCTCGCCTAAATGCTCATGCTGTAACATGAAGTAAATACAACAACAAACAAAAAACAAAGGCAGAATTTAATATTTTATGTAAACAATCATTTAATTATGTAGAAATAAACACATATGGATAAGGTTTGGAAAGAATAGGGGGAGGGGCGCCTGGGTGGCTCAGTCGGTTAAGCGGCTGCCTTCGGCTCAGGTCATGATCCCGGGGTCCTGGGATCGAGCCCCCACATCGGGCTCCCTGCTCAGCGGGGAGCCTGCTTCTCCCTCTCCCTCTGCCTGCCTCTCTGCCTACTTGTTCTCTCTCTCTGTCTCTCTGTCAAATAAATAAATAAAATCTTTACAAAAAAAAAAAGAATAGGGGGAAATTAAAAGAAGTCGTTTGTTAAGTTGGTCAGGATTCTGCTTTCTTCTAATTTTTAACTTTGATCTTATTGCTATAACAGCAATTATACCTTTTCAAAATTAAGCTACTTCCTAAAAAAATAATATAAAAATGATGAAAGGGGGAAAGCCAAATGTTTGCTTTGCTTTTCACTTACCACAGTTCATCAACCTGGTTATATCACAGGCGGCACCAGAGGTCTCCATGGTCATGATGTCACCGTAGCAGCCATGGTACAGGCGGGGATGCAGGTGAGGGTTCATTGAGTGAGTGAAAGGGTACGAGCCCCTAGAAGTGCCTGGGGGAGAGAACGATAATTCTCATGAAGCCTGCAAGATATATTGCTCGAGTCGCTATAATGAGCATTACTAAACCAA